TTGAGCAAGCTAAGGACTTGAATCAATCTCTCCATACACATGTATGGGGGATGAAAACTGTGCTCACGAGCTGTCACAGCTGGCATGGAAATATCTGAAAAAGTAGATAGAAAGGTCTCGACCAGAAAATATGGCCGATCGACCAAAAAGAGTGCCGATCGGCCACCACTTATGGCCGATGGCAAGGAAACAAGGCTGACAAGCACAAGGCTTGGCCGATGGGTTGTAGGGATGGCCAATAAGCCACCCTATTCCTTTAGAAACAAAACCACAAGTCCTTGGTCCACAACCAAGCACAAAATAGACAAGTTGAGAGATCCTAAGGCAAGGCGCACGGCTGAGACCTTCGGGAACTTAAAATGAACACGAGCATGGATGTTCATCGAGTGTTCAAACGATGACATCCAAGTCTTGAGAACGGTAAAAAATAGGGTGTCTACAATTGCCCCTCTTTGACAGAACTCGAAAGTCATAAGATAACGGGAGTGAATATAAAAGCCCAGAGACGACCCATTTTTGACAAGGCTGAAGACTTAGACAAGCATACAAGACAACAAAGAGATGCGTCCGTAGGCAAGGGCAAGATACAAATGACATGCACGATGCCGAACATAACTTATGATCATGCAAAGAGAGCTGTAATGAAGCATTCATGCAAAACAAATACAACAATTTAAGCAAGCGAATAAGAAAGAATAGTCCCACACCTTCCAACAGAAAGGATGTAAGAAAATTATGCAATTCTCACTGCGTCTCACGCGGAGAAGACTAAAAGTGTCTACCGAGGATACCCGAAGTCTCAAACATAACATCTCTCAGCGTATCACACGCATGAGATGAAAGGACTGTGCAAGAAAGCGTAGTCATCCAAACGCGTACCAAACGCGAGAGGAGAGAGATACGTCCAAACGCATGCCAAACGTGAGTGGAGAAGGGTAGCAGTCAAACTGAACCGGGACTTCTCTCGAATGAACTGTACATACAATATCGTCTGGTTTCACCAACTTCAAATGAACTGTACATACAATATCGTGCCTGCAAAAGAAAGAAATTCAACAGGTACAATATAGTAGAAACACATGTTCAATCGTTAGATCAAGATATTATTTCAATATGAGATAAACGCATGCATATACAATGCGAGCGAGAAGGTGCATAGCAATGCAAGTGAAAAGATGCATGACAATGCAACTAGAACGAGCCTAACAATGCAAGTAAAAACATGCGCGACAACGCAAGCAAGGGTGCATAACAATGCAAGTAAAGCATGCGCGACAACGCAAGCAATGTGCATAACAATGCGAGGAAAAGCATGCGCGACAACGCAAGCAATGTGCATAACAATGCAAGGAAAATGTGCGCGACAACGCAAACAAAACATGTGCGACAACGCATATAGTGTGTGCATAACAATGCAAGTGAGATGTGCATGACAATGCAAACAAAACGTGCGCGACAACGCATATAGTGTGTGCATAACAATGCGAGTGTGATGTGCATAACAATGCAAACAAAATGTGCGCGACAACGCATATAGTGTGTGCATAACAATGCGAGTGAGATGTGCACGACAATGCAAACAAAACGTGCGCGACAACGCATATAGTGTGTGCATAACAATGCAACAACAAAGAGAGACACATGTTCAACGTAAGCATGGTAAAGGCATGTTATTCGCGATGTTGAGATGCAACTTCAAAAAAAGATGAGGCATGCTCAATGCAAGAGCGAAAAGACGTATAACAAACGCGCGTCTTACAAATATGACAAAACACTCATAAGGCAAAGATATTCAACAGCAATTCTCGAGCAATTCTCAAATCTTGCAATATACAAAAGGATACAAAAAAAAGGATACACCTCGTGTGTATCGAGTGCCGCACACGGAAGACACGGTTTGAGGCCACCACGAAGGCCGCTTAAGCTCCATAAGTGTATTTTCTTGCACTTTCTTGAAAGATGAGGGTACCAATCAATAGAATTGACCCAAACAAGGGCATTGGAGGTGCATCGACCACAAGGGGGAGCCATTGGCCATCCATCGGCCATCAAAAGAGATTATTGGCCAACAATTTAGCCGATCGGCTAACAATTTGGCCGATTGGCCAAAAGTGGCAAATTCGGGGCAATTTTGTCCATTTGCTTCGAATCTTTAAATATAGGGTTCCAAACCCTACTTCCTCACTTCTCCTTAGCCGGAATTCATTCTCCTCCTCCTCTAGGGAATTTTCCTCCCTTCGATCCGTGCTTTTCTCTCGTTTTCAAGCCTCCTGCAACTTTCGATTCGCGAAACCCTCTTCGTTCCGAACATTTTGAACCGAACGAAACGTGATTTCGGTGCCACATTCTTGATTTCCACCACTTGGGGTTTGTTTCCCCCAAGTTAGCCTTGGTTTCCGTGCCTTCTTTCGCACTTCGACCTTTTCTCCAATTTTTCACCCATCAGGGTTGACTTCCGGTTGACTTTTTTGCATTTTTATCCACTTTCCATACCTTTGACCATTTTTGCACTCTTCTCAAGATGGCGGACGATATTCCATGGGGTGGGACTCCTCCAGAGATGGATACGGATCCCGAGGTCAAGCACTTACCACTCAGTGTTCGACCTTTCGACCCGGCGACATACCGTCCCGCGATACATGTACTGCCTCTCGATAGCATCCGCCAATTCAGGAGCTACGCGCGAGGTGCGCCATTGGAGCTCCTAGGGGTGGGAGCGGGTCGGTTGCGACCATGGAACCTCCAATTCGCCATCCGTCCGCTAGATTGGCGGATTGGAGAAAATCAATCCACATCCATTCGCCAATCCAGCGGATGCGGATTGAGCGGATTGGCGGTTTGGCGGATGGATGCAAATTGGTTTGGCGGTTTAAGATTTTATAAATTTTCAACATAATTCAACTTGTGCACTTCCCAAAAAAAAAAAAAAGTATTACAGTTAAATACTTAAAAAATATTACAATCACTACATGTAGGTCTCGTCTCATCCAAAAAAAGAAAGTTTGAAACTTTAGAATATCACAATCACTGCATGGCTCATCCATATATTACAATAACAGCATGATTCATCTACATAAAATATTACAATCTTTGATTCTTAAAATATAATAACAATTCAAACCATCAAAACCATGAACATGGCAGTAGTAGAGATTGTATGTCTCTGTATTGTTACATCTATATATGTTTTTGAAAATAAAAACCAACCAGCATATATCATGTTTTCTATTTATTATTTTTAGAGTTAAATTTAAAAACCAAAAAATATAGATAAACAATATGTTTATTTTTTTCAATTAAAAAAATATATTCAAGTTGAAAACTTTTTTTTAACTTAATATTTAAACTATTTTTCTATTGAAAACGCAAACAAAATATTTAAACAAATTGAAAACATAAAGTCTTATAAATTATTAGGGGTGTTCACGGTTTGGCAGTTCAGTTGTGGTAAAAGGAATCTCAAATCCGCCATCCATCCGCCAAATTGGCGGATTGGAGAAAATCAATCCGTAACCGTCTGCTCGTCATAACGCATCCGTCCAAAATGTGGCGGATCGGTTCGGTTCGGTCAATTTTGGTGGATTGGTATATCCGCTGCTCACCCCCAGCTCCTGCTACGCGAGCCGGAGTTACACCTTTCTTATAGCGCCGCTGAGGTATACTCTTCTTCTTTACTTTTTGCAATGTAGATCATATACCTTGAATAGCCGACACTGCCCTTTAACTAATCATCACAAACACACTTGTAGATCACATGCTTAGTTCACCCTGAGCACGTTCATACACTATATATGTGTAAACTTGAACACATGTACACACACTGCATTTTCATCAATTCTGAACATATTCAAACACTGTATTTCTGACACTGCTTCGCATCTGTTTGTCTTGAACACGGGGAGATTCCCATGCCTTCTGGGGGTATGGGAATACCATCGCCCGGGGTTGGTACATGGAGCTGTCTGATGAGGTCTGCCAGGTTATTGACAAGGCCGGCTTCGGCATTTTCTGTATGGGACTCTCGCGCCCCACTGCGAGTAGGCCCCTTCTAGACACGCTGGTAGAGAGGTGGTGGGACACCACCGATTCCTTCCACCTTTCCGCAGCGGGGGAGATGACGATGACTCCTTTCGACTTCTCCATGCTCATTGGCATCGGAGTAGGGGGTGATCCGATCCCTTTTGATACTGATATGGGCCAGTGGGATGCTGCCCAGATGTTCTTGCTTGGCGCTCGCCTGCCTCTCTCCCTGCCAGGGTTCGTGAGGTATTCCTGGTTCGAGGACCAGTTCAGAGTGCAGGCACCAACGACCCGCGAGGAGGTCGAGTAGTATGCCTAAGGGTTAATTATGTTCTTGTTGGGCACCACCCTCTTCGTTGACCGGGCGAACACAGTTGGCCTCTATCTGTTGAGCGCGCTGGTGGACGTGACCAGGATCCAACGCTATGATTGGGCTGGCGCAGGCCTGGTCACGCTTTACGGGTACATGAGCTCTTCATCCCGCCGTAGTGGACATCTGCGAGGAGGCTACTGGCGAGCCTGGGAGGTACACCTTCCTTTTTTGTTTTACAGTTTTACCTTACACTATCTGTACACCACGCACACTGCATACACGCAATTTGCTTTACACTGGCTGTTCACTGCGCACACTGCACAATACACTGCACACCATTCTCTGGTTTCTGCTTTATCTGCATATTACCTTACTGATAAGCATACTCATTCTTACCCTGCTACACTCTGTAGTTGTGGGTGTATGCCTATTTTCCGAGGCTTGCTCCAGAGTCGGAGGTGGAGATGCCCCTCGCTGTCCCATATTCTCATCGATAGGATGTGAGGTGCGAGCGGAGACCGCGACAGTTTTTCCTGTTCTTTCGTAGATATTTCGACACCATTACCACAGCAGAGGTATTTCAAACATTACAGTTTATTTAAGCTTCGCTTTACATTGTACTTTTAACAGCAGATAACAAACTGTATATCCTGTCACTTGCAGATCACTTGGCAGCCTTGGGCCGCGTTGCCGGATGCAGTGAAAGACCAGTACATGGGTGCTCGGGAGACTGCCCGGTTCTGGGTTTTGCTGGAGGGTCCGGTCTGCCGGGCTTGGTATTTGGGTGAGCACTTCTTGTGGCAGACCCTTGGTTTACCTGAGCAGATAGTTCCGAGGCCACCTCCCACCCATATGAGGCATACAGAGAGGTACACCCTGCAGAAGATGACCGATTTCACGATCGGTTGGGACGTTGACTTTTTTTGAGATGAGGGCGACTACACCGTTTTCATCGAGACTCATCTTATGCGACCACTGGCTAGTGCTCGTCGAGTCGAGAGGGAAAGTCCTGTAGCCCCTGTGGGAGGAGTGGGAGCACCGAGGGCGACTCAGGCCCGCTACAGGAGCGGGTCCCGGAGGGGACGAGGAGCGGAGTGGCCAAAGCTGCCCACCACCATGACATGTCGAGGACAGGGTGGGGAGATTTATCAGATACCCATCACTCATTCTCTGGCTGATCATGAGCTCGTTGGAGTTCGCAGCTCGACCCCGGTATGTGTTATACTCTTCATTCTGTACAGTCATTTCATTTCATTTGACATCCCGCAAAATACTAATTACTTCAACACTTTTGCAGGCTTCTATTGAGTATACTGGACACGTTCTGGAGTTGACGGCCTCAGTGATGGGGATGCTGCAGAGGAGCATGAACCTGTTGAGTATCTATAGTATCCCGATGAGTTCTTTTAACCTCAATTCCAAAACTTTGCATAATCTGTTCCATACTGATCTGATGCATTACATTATCAATACGACACTTGATACACTGCACTCACATACCACTCACGGCACTGATACACTGCACTTACGTACCATTCACGGCACTGATACACTACACTCACATACTGTATTCGATACGATACTCGATTTCGCCTAGCGTAACTAATGCATTTGCCTGTTGTTCTTTCCAGTCCCCATTCCAGATACCGGCCGTAAGGGGTGCTTCAGTAGGACCTTCAGTACTTGCCTGAGGAGCGGGGAGAGCAGGACGAGGGATCTCAGTACGCAGCCGCAGTAGAGCCGGGCATACTCACTCTGGGAGTAGCTCATGGGTGCCTGTCCCAGATGATGACGAGTCTGAAGCAGAGGCAGAGTCGTCTCAAGATGAGGCTAGGGATGGTTTCGGTTCAGGCTCAGACAGCGGAGCTAACGGTGGCGATCCTGGACCTTCGTCCAGGAAGAGGACGAGGACGGACTCCCGCACTTAAGGCGACTGACGCCGATCCAGATGTTGCTCTTCTATCTTTTTTTGCTTTATTTTTCTTTTTACTAGTAGTTTTTGCACTTTGTACTGCGTCAGGCAGATTTTATGTTCTTCAAAACTATGTACTTTTGCAAAAGAAAACATGATGGAATGAAATAGCTCTTTTTGTTAAAAAAGTGTTACATTTGTACATTCTAAGTATCGCATCGCATCACATCACATTACATAACAATGTAAATGAGATTGAACTTTGTTTTGAAAACTAAACACTCAAATTGCATTAATCAGGTAGTGAACCGACTGACAACAAAACAACTCAATAAGCAAAACAAGGACTAAAGAACACGAAATACAACTCGATAAACCAAAGTATAAAAACTCGATAAACAAATTGAAGTAGCATAAACGTGACTTCGGAAAATCATCACTGAAAGGCATTTGAAGTGGAACAAGTCACAAGTTCTCAACATCTCCAACACATGGATAGCCTAGAGAACAAAAAGGAAGGCCATCGGCTAAGGTGAGAGGCCATCGGCCACAAGAAATGACCATCGGCCATAATTACTAGCCGATCGGCTAACAAGATGGTCGGTCGGCACTATTTTCGGCCAATTAGCCAAAAATGGCAAGAACCTCCATAATACTGCCACCTGTCTTCCACTCAACACCTTATCTTCTACAAAAGCCCCAACTTCGTAGTTTCTCCATTTCAGCTCAGTTTTTGCACCAAATGGAAGCATTTCTTGTCCAAAATCTCACAAATTGGATTGCCAACTTAGATGGCTCGGAAAAGCTGGATTTTTGGGGCTTTGGCATAAATGCACTATTCACGTTGAGTCGCACCCCGCTGCATTTTTCGTTCCTTTATGCCGCGGCAAGGTTTTGGAATCCAGTAACACACGTCTTTAGCTTTGGCGGACAAGAGATATGTCCCACTTTCGAGAACTTCCAATCTTTAATGGAATCCGAGCGCGATGAAGAAATCTTGCCTCAATTCTGCTTCGGCTACGTCCAGGCCTTAGGACGGATGTGTGGCCTTACTTTGCATGACACTCGGTCATTGATTCACGACAGAGAGCTTGACATTCCGAGCTTGATTCGTCGTTTTTCTGATGCCGGTGACCGCGACGATCATCATTGGCAGGGTTATCGGCGACATGCGCTTTGCTTGTGCATGTTGTCTCATTTCTTGCTTGCCCCGAACTCCGGAGGGTTTAGCACTCGTTTGATCGAAGTTGTCGAGGGCTTAAAAGAAGGCAAGAGCTGCATCGCCATGACACTAGCTGAGACATTGATGGGTTTAGACGCTTTTCATCGCCGGAAGACGACTAGATTCGCGGGGAGTCCATTACTACTGCAGGTAATGTTTCCCACCCCATCTCACATATATTTCTCACATCACTCGGCCCTCAGGCTTGGTTTTTCTCTCAAAACCCTTTTCTCACTTTTCCTCTCAACGTACACCTCTCTATTCTTTAATCTCTCATTTTTCATCCTTTCCCAGATATGGTTGATGGATAAGTTGAAGATTATGGACTCATGCCCAGCACATTCAGCTCGCAGCTATTTCTTCTGACGACATCTAGTCGATGCCCCTGATGAGGAATGGTGGGGCTACTGGATGCGTAGTTTGTCTGCTCTAGACATTGATTGGCGCTGCCTCTGGCTTAATTTACCGGCGATGAGCTACAACATGACCCGCCAGCCCGGGATTCAGTTGATTGGCCTGACACACTGTGTCTTTTACTTCCCTTTCCCATTTTGGCGCCAGTTCGGACATGATCAAACTTTCCCGGAAGAGGGGATAAAGTACCTTGCTGCATTTCCGGTCTGAGGCATACAGCTAAGTCGGTATGTCACAGCATGGAGGACGAGAGAGCTTCTAGCCCCGCTCCCACTTTCAGTTGCACCCTCTCTGATGAGTGCATAGCTTGGCTCGATGAAGAGGCACAGGTTGGGCCTACTTTGGCATCAGAGACTTTGACCAGCTCTGGGAGGGGACGCAGGAACACCTGACTATGCCCCGAATTTATTTGCTTCAATCAGTACTTTCAAGTTTTCTTTATGAATGTAATAAAAAAGAAATTTCAATTTGTATTCAAGAGTAGGAGAACTCTGTATTGAAATCAATGTAATTAAAGGTTGTGGGTACTGAAAATTTTCCGTTTGGTCCAAAAATGGTCTTAGTTGTAAAAAGATTAATTTGAGCAAAAATCAACTTTTATTAAAACTTTTCAAACCCATTTTCGATATGGATAAGAACTGGACACACCTGAGATCTATCACTGAGATGAACAACCCTGGATCCCAGTAACTGGAAAGTTGCCCCTCTTCTGAATAGCACTGCACTGGAGATCACAACCGAGCTCTTGAATGCAGAATAGACAAAGATGACCAACATGATCACACGAACAAAGTTGATTTGGAAGTGTTTATGGCTAGACTTCAGGATGAAGTTGCCTACGTATCCCAAAGATGGGAATCAAGCCTTACGTAGTTCGACTCGGGTTCACTCGTGTATTAACGCTCTCCTTTTGTGCTCTAACTTTTGCCAAGGCCGCCCTTCTGGGTTTTCAACCTTACGAGCTCAGTTTTTATAATTTCAAAATTTTCATGCTCTAACTTTTGCCTAGGTCGCCCTTTCGGGTTTTCGGCCTAGCGAGTCACTTAGGGAAAATATTTCTTCAACTTATCCATGTTGATCGGTTGGGAGAACTCTAGGCCATCTAGGTCCATCAGAATGACAGCTCCACCCGACCAGATAGACTTAATGATGTAAGGACTAGTCCAATTGGGTTTGAACTTGCCTCTAGGGTCGTGGATGGGAGCTCGGTTGTCTTTGAGCACCAAATCTCCTTCTTTCAAATTCCTGGACTTAACCTTCTTGTTGAAAGCCCTGGCGATTCTTCGTTGATAACTCTGAACATGATACAGTGCTTTCAGCCTTCTCTCGTTAAATAGTATGAGTTTTTCGAACCTGCTTTGTTGCCAATCTGCCTCAGCTATCTGACACTCAGCCAATACCTGTAATGACGGAACCTCAACTTCGATAGGCAAAACAGCCTCCATCCCATAAACCAAGGAATACGGAATTGCTCTAGTAGAAGTTCGAATTGAAGTCCGGTAGCCCCACAGAGCAAACGATAGCTTATTTGGCCAGTCCCGATAGGTTTCCACTATCTTCCGCAGAATGTGCTTGATGTTCTTGTTGGCGGCCTCAACAGCTTCGTTGGTTTGCGGCCGATATGTACATGACTTATGAAAAGCCACGTTGTATTTCTCCAACAAGTCGACCACCTCCTTTTTGAAGTGGGAGCCATTATCTGAAATAATCTTGTTCGAGACCCCATAGCGACAAATGATGTTGTTCCTAATGAACTTTGCAACGTGCGATGCCTTCAACACCGCGTAAGATTGGGCCTCAACCCACTTCGTGAAATAGTCTATCGCGACCAGAATGAACTTATGCCCATTGGACCCCTTTGGAGTGACAACCCCAATTACATCAATCCCCCAAACTGAAAATGGCCATGGCGAAGTCATGTTGTACAGTTTCGACAGCAGAATTGTCATGCGGTTTGCATAGCTCTAACATTTATGGCATCGCCGGACAAAGACAATACAATCCTCCTCCATGGTGGACCAGTAATAACCCTGTCTAAGGATCTTATGGGCTAACATCACCCCGTTCATGTGCACTCCGCACTCTCCTCCATGGATGGCCTCCATCAGGCACTTGGATTCTTCAGCATCAACACACAGCTTATGCATCCCGAGATGACCTCTCTTGTACAGTTTTCACCCGCAGACGATGAACTGAGCAGCCATTCTTCGAATTGCCCTTTTATCTTTGGCATTTTCTCCTGGTGGATACGCTTCCTTCTCCAAGAAGTTCCAGACATCGTAATACCAGGGATTCTCATCTTGTACCTCATCTATGGCAGCAATCAGCTCGTAGGCCGGCACGAATTTTTGTTCAATGATGATCGGACACATCCGGACTCCGAAAGGGACGTCTATCATAGAAGATAGAGTTGCTAATGAATCATCGAACCTGTTGTTCTCTCTTAACAGATGAGCGAAGTTCAGTTTCTCAAACCGAGGAATCAACACGTCCAAGGTCTGGTGGTAGATTCTCATCTTTTCTTCTTTAACTTTCCAATCTCTTTTAGCTTGAGATACAACAAGGTTCGAGTCCCCGATGACATACAACCGTTTTGCCCCTAGTTTTAAGACGGCTTCTAGTCCAGTAATACATGCCTCGTACTCTACTTCATTGTTCGACACTTTGAACCGGAGTTTGAATGCTAAAGGTATGAGGGAATTGTCGAGTGCTATCAGCAACACCCCTATCCCATACCCGTATTGGTTTGACGCTTCGTCAAAGTACATCGTCCAAGTTTCTTCTTCGACATAGAGAATGACCTCATCTGGGAATAGATACTCAACTGATTCATCCCCTTTAACTGGGTGATCGGCTAGGAACTTCGTTACTGCTCTCCTTTTCACTGACTTGCGCGTCATGTACTTCAGGTCAAATTCGGAAAGTAGAAGTAACCAACGAGCTAGCCTACCCGTAAGTGCCAGTTTCTCGAAGAGATATTTGATAGGATCTAATCTCGAAACCAGTATTATAGAGTGAGCTAGCAGATAGTACCGCAACTTCCTGGTAGCCCATACCAAGGCCAGAAAAGCATTCTCCAGCGGAGTGTAGTGGGTCTCATAATCCAGCATTTTCTTGCTCAAGTAGTAGATAGCTTTCTCCACTTTGTCCTCAGACTCCTGTGCAAGCATGCAGCCCATTATAGTTTCAGTCACTGAAAGATACAAGATCAACGATTTTCCTGGCTCAGGCGGTGACAACACAGGTGGGTTCTGTAAATATTGCTTGATTTGTTCAAAAGCTGCTTGGCATCGGCCGTCCCATTGGAACTTCTTTCCTTTCTTCAGGAGACCAAAGAGTGGTTCACAAGTCAAGGTTAATTTTGCAATAAATCGTCTTATGAATTGCACTTTACCCAGAAAGTCTCGCACCTCTTTTTCAGTCCTCGGTGGTGGCATTTCTAAGATGGCCTTGACTTTAGAAGGATCGACCTCGATACCTCTCTGTGTGATCAAGAACCCCAGCATTTTCCCTGCTGTAACACCAAATGT